TATTTTTTTTTATTTTGTTTTTTTTTTAATTTTGATTTCAATATTCATTTTATTAGTTTGAATAACTTATTTCCAACAGATGCTACAGGTCTGGGAACCAAAAAATACAGGGAAGACACAAACAGGTGGAGCCCATTTTTTAAATAATATTTTAATCAGGTGGAACTCACATCCATGTGACTATTTTCTAAAACTTCTGGCATGAACACTGTACATTCAGCATTTTTCTATGACTTGGTAGTGTTGATGCTTGCATTGTCTCATTTACAGAATTTCATTAATTAATTTGAATTGTTCATTATTATTGCATGAAATGTTTCCGTATACAAATTGTAATAGTTTGTATCTATTGTTTATTATATTAGGGAGAATTGCAACGACAGTATAAAACATTTCATTTTATCTCATATTTAACTCAAACTTTTTCATTTGTACCACCTAAGGTACCAAACATTTCATTTTGTCTCAAACTTGACCTAAACCTTTTAGTTGTACCACACATGGTAGCAAACAATTCATTTGGTCTCAGACTTGATCCTAACGTTTCATTTGTACCACCCAAAATACCAAACATTTCATTTTGTCTCAAAATTGACCCGAACCTTTCATTTGTGTCAAGACAAAATGAAAGATTTTGTATCATGACTACAATTCTTCCTTACATTAATTATGAAGTTATGATACTAAATAAAAATAAGAATTTAGGCCCGTTTGCTTTGCGTTTCAGTTTTGAATTTTGAATCTATATTTCACTTTTCTATTTTGAGGATCTATTTTAAGATTATGGTATATGTGTTTGGCTTGTAATTCTGAAAAACCGTTTCACAAAACAAAAAATTGAAAAATACGTTAGGTTTGAAATTTTTAGAAATTATTTTATAACATTTTATTCAATGAGTTGATTTTTCAACAAGTAATGACGTTTTACAAGGTGTCTTATCTATAATACTTCTTTAGTTGGCAACAAAATAAATAAGTATATCTACAACAATCGCATCAAAATCATCTGTAAATAAAAAAATCAACATCATTCAAATTTTTGTAGGCCGAATCAATTAAATGTGATTTAAACAGCATAGAAAAATCAAGAAAAAAAAGAAGCACACTTTGATTTATCCTTGAATGGATTTAAACTACTCATAAAAAAATAAAAATCGAGACAAAAAAAGGGAAAAAGAAAAAAGTAAATATGTTTAAAATGAAATATGAGATCAATGCTGAAATTTAAATATATGCATCTATTTGAGCCCTATTTTTTGTCCAAAATGCATTTTGAAATAGTATTTTATTGGAGAAATCGTTCGGTTCGAATTCGATTCGATCGAGAGATTTGTCCAGTCCTAATCTATGTCAAGACCAATATGAATCTAACTTGGAATTGCTTGGTCACTTCCTAGCATTATTCTACCTTTTCATGTGTTGTATAGTAGCTAGGACGGTTTATTGTATTGCGGTTCTTTAGAAGTAATAACGCATTGATCTAGTCGTAGTTGGAGATACAAAATTACTATCTAAATTGATTCCTTTCTGAGTTTATTAAATCAGTCAAATTTAGAAAAAATGTTTTTGCTACTTACTTTTGGAAGTCAATAAACTTAACAAAACCACAAATGGTCTTTCTTATATTTTCGATTCGCCTACCATTTCAGACTATGACAGTGAGTCCTAAATCTTTCACTTGTTGCACTCAAGTGCCCAATCTATTAAACCATGCGATATTGATCCCCACAAGACAGAACTCCAATTTTGTCGAAATGACAATTATACCATTATTTTATTTACAAAAACAAAAAAGAAAAAAGAAAAGGAATAAAGAATAAAAGAATCCCAACTCACATGTTACAACCACCATCGAAAATCCTCCATTTTCACGACTTGGGTGAAGGGTTTTGAAAAAGAGAGATTGAGAAACGATTGGTTTAGGATTCCTTTGGTGAGTTTAGCCCCCTTTTTTGTACGGATTTAAATTTATATTTTAATTTAAAATAATACAATTTATCATCATGATGATAAATCATCAATGACGTGACAATGCATTATCCTTCATATTTCTCTCTATCGTATAAATTGAAATGTTCAATCTTATTATTCAATATAAACTATCCGATTACTGATAATAAATATTATTATTCTTTAATTTAAGTAAAAATCAACAATTTTAAATAAAACTTTTTATTTTTCATACTCGTTTTAAATCGTACATTTGGACAATAAAATATTTTGAAGATAAAACTTATAATTTATTTTTTTAAAACCTTTTTGATTAGCATTCTTAAAAAAAAAAAAAAAAAAAATCACCACTCAAAACATCGTTTTCCTTTGATTTTTGAGTAATGTTATTCATCCCCAGTGGGGATGAAAATACAGTTTATATGGCATTAAATGATAAATTAAATTAAAATTAAATGACTTATTTAATTTCACCTATCATTTAACGCCACGTTAACGAATAGCGTTACTCTTGATTTTTCTTTGTAGTGGCAATCAAACAGGGCATATAATTAAGAAGCCAATCATTATCACAAATCTCTCTCCCCAGTCCGCACTCACACTGTAAGCATTTCCATTTCCGTCTCCGTCTCTTACTTTTTCTTCTTTTCCTTATTTTTTAGGTCTCTGCCTAAAAAATCTCTCAATTATACTTTTTTTTTTTTTACAGAAATTCATAAATAGTAATTGGATATTGTTGTAAGCGTCAATGAAACTCCTGTTTAAACTTTCGATTTTTTACTTTTTGTTGATCTGCTGAATACTTAATACACTAATTTTGGAAAACTTACATTTTTAAGTGTTTGGTTCAATACTACAGTAGATTATGCATCGAATAAATATCTGATTCGTTTGAAANCCCCCTGGCAATGTAGCAGCTCTCGCCATCGAAAATCCTCCATTTTCACGACTTGGGTGAAGGGTTTTGAAAAAGAGAGATTGAGAGACGATTTGTTTAGGATTCCTTTGGTGAGTTTAGCCCCCTTTTTTGTAAGGATTTTAATTTATATTTTAATTTAAAATAATGTAATTTATCATCATGATGATAAATCATCAATGACGTGACAACGTATTATCCTTCATATTTTTCTCTCTCGTACAAATTGAAATGTTCAATTTTATTGTTCCATATAAACTATCTGATTACCGATAATTTATCAACATGGTAATAAAAATTATTATTCTTTAATTTAAGTAAAAATCAACAATTTTAAATTAAAACTTTTTATTTTTCATACTCGTTTTAAATCGTACATTTGGACAATAAAATATTTTGAAGATAAAAATTATAATTTATTTTTTAAATCATTTTCCTTTGATTTTTGAGTAATGTTATTCATCCCCAGTGAGGATGAAAACACAGTCTATGTGGTATTAAATGATAGGTTAAATGAAAGGTGAACACCTATCATTTAATGCCACATTAACGTCATATAGACTGCGTTTAGTAAGGGTTACCCCTACTAATCGTAATTTACTATCCAATTTACTTTACACTTTAATTTACTTATATTAAATGACTTATTTAATTTTACCTATCATTTAATGCCACATTAACACACATAGGTAGTGTTTTCATTCCCAATGAGATGAATAACATTATTGTTGATTTTTCTTTGTAGTGGCGATCAAACAGGGCATATAATTAAGAAGCCAATCATTATCACAAATCTCTCCCCAGTCCGCACTCACACTGTAAGCATTTCCGTTTCCGTCTCCGTCTCTTACTTTTTCTTCTTTTCCTTATTTTTTAGGTCTCTGCCTAAAAAATCTCTCAATTATACTTTTTTTTTTACAGAAATTCATAAATAGTCATTGGATATTGTTGTAAGCGTCAATGAAACTCCTGTATAAACTTTCGATTTTTTATTTTTTGTTGATCTGCTGAATAATTAATACACTAATTTCGGAAAAGTTACATTTTTAAGTGTTTGGTTCAATACTACAGTAGATTATGCATGGAATAAATATCTGATTCGTTTGAAA